GGGCAGTTGTCATGAAAAATGGTTGGGTGGCCGTGACCGGTTTGGCTCAATGGATAGAGCATCGGCTTGGGGACTGAAGGGTCCCGGGTTTAATTCCAGTCAAGGGCATGTACCTTGGTTGTGGGCATATCCCCAGTAGGGGGTGTGCAAGAGGCAGCTGATTGATGATTCTCTCTCATTGATGTTTCTAACTCTCTATCTCTCTCCCTTCCTCTCTGTACAAAAATCAATAAAATATATATATTTTTTAAAAGAAAATGATTGGGTGGTTCTTCAAAGAGTGAAACAGAATTACCACATGACCCAACAATTCTGTCATAAATATCTATCTAAGAGAACTGGAACAGGTGTTTATCATGGAACTATTTACAGTAGCCTAAAGGTGGCAACAACCCAAATGTCTATTGGTGGTGAATGGATGTACAAGATATGGTCCAGTAATATTCCACACTGAAATATTGCTCAGCCATGAAAAAGAAAAAGGCGCTGGCATTCAATAGATGAACCTTGAACACATGATGCCCAGTGAGGGGAACCAGACACAAAGGCCTCATACTGTGATTCCATTTGTGTGAAATGTCCAGAGCAGGCACACCCAGAGATAATGAATTAGTGGTTGCCAGGGGCTTGAGAATGACTGCTAAGGGAGATGAGATTGCTTTTGGGGTGCTGGAATGATCTGCAATTAGACAAAAGTGATGGCTGCAAAATATTGTGAATATACTGAATTTCACTGAATTGTACACTTTAAAATGATTTTAAAAATGGTGAATTTTACGTTATGTGAATTTTACCCCAATTAAAAAAAAAAAAAGTGTTGTATAGTCCTGGCTGGTATTGCTACGTGGTTAGAGCATTGGTCTGAGCACTGAAGGGGACATGATGATTCCCAGTCAAGGGCACATATGTGAGTTGCAGGTTCGATTCTAGATCCCAGTTGGGGTATGTGTGGGAGGCAACCAATCGATATGTTGATGTGGACACACACCACTGCACACCAGGCCTGGCGGGAGCTTGGTCCTTACCTGGCAACTTGGGACAAGTATTCCTGCTCATTTGTGTCTCAATTGATTTTTGTACATTCTGTCACATCAATGTTTCTCTCCCCCTCCCTTTGGCTCTAAAAATAAGCAATGGAAAAAATACCCTTGAATGAGAATTAACAACAAAAAAAGTGTGCTGTATAGTCTCTCCTGGGCTGCCTCTGTGAGGGCAGAGACTAATGCCATTTGGTCACTGCTGTGTCCGTAGTGGCCAGCAGAGACAGAGGTGCAGGGGGTGTTCAAGAAGCATTTGTGGACTAGACTGAATGAATGTGGGAATCAAGAGACACAGGCACCTGCTCTCCCTGAGAAAGAACACTTCATTTCCTCAAGTTCTGGACGGAGCACCTGAAATCCTGGCCATGGGAACTTCAGACTTGCCTTGTGGATGATCTCCTGCATTTCCAACTCTAAATCTGAATTTTTCTCTAACCCTGGAACTCCAGGGGCCAGATGCACTTGGTCTTTATTGACACGAAAGAGCAAAGAAGGACTCAGTCCTTTAGCAAGTAAAACTTTTATTAAATAAACTTTCAGTTTTTCCAGACCAAAGAGAGGTGTTTTGGACATAAAGATGATGCTTGTAAGCTTCTCACCTGAAACACACCACAGTGACAAGGACCTCTCCAGCCACAAAATTCATCAACCCAGAGCTTCTTCTAAGTCCTTTTCTTGCCGTGTGTGTGTGTGTGTGTGTGTGTGTGTGTGTTTCCAAAAGTTGGTTTGCAAGTTGAAACTTCATGAAATTACTAGTAGCAGAAATAAAGTACATTGTACAAATCATGTAGATCTTCGGTGTGGAGTATAAAAATGGTATTTACAGCCAGTAAACATGGATCAGGACACACACCACTGCACGCCAGGCCTGGCGGGAGCTTGGTGGGCACCAGAGACGCAGATGAGGCCCCCTCTTGGCCCCTGAGCACACGCTTGCACACGCAGACGCACGGGACACAGGCACACTAGAGAATGTCCTGGGACAATTATCAAACTCTGGAATATCGAAACGAGTTGGTCCGAAGTTTTTTTTTTGTCTTTTCCTTTTTTTTGTTTTTTTTGTTTTGTTACTATGTGTTTTTTTCTTTTCTTTTTTCTTTTCTGGGTTGGTCAACACATTTTGGTAGGAACAAAAGGGAATGCTGTGGGTTTTGCTTTGTTTTTTCCAAAAATTATTTTTCTTGAGCTTAATAAGTTCTCTGGTTCCTCGTTTGGCAATAGGCTCCACTGGACGACCAAACGAACTTGACTCTGTGCTTCAGGTGGGTTTTCATGTTTGGGTAGGTATGCGGAGGCACCCCACAGGATCCCCTCCCAGCCCCAGCTAGGAAACAAAAACCCATTGCTTTGATCCCCCCCACCCCCATTTTCCTTCTCTTTTCCTCTTTGTACCTGCTCAGAAAGATCAGCATTAAAAAAAAAATTCTTTGAAGAGGTATCTTCGGCAAAGGGGTGCTTGGCCAGTGCAGGTTGGGCTTGTCCAACGAGCGTGGCAATCTTGGTTATGAGACCGTGAATTCCAGGCTGGTGATCCGAAGGCAGGGAGGGCTGGCTGCCTGCCCTTGGGAGGGGCAGGGGGAGAGGGGCTCCCACTGACCCCATCTACCCCTGACGGAAAGCTAAGGGCTATTGGTCACATGAGTAAGGCTATGACTGGGGGGAAAGGGCTGGGGGAGGCCAGGGGCTCTCTTTTGTGCTGGGGAAGGCAGGGCCCTGGGACAAGGGAGGGGAGTTCGGGGTCCCGGAAGCTGCAGCTAGGACCAGGGACACTCAAGCCGGCTGAGCCCATAGACCAGAGAGAATCGTCGGTGGCAGCGGCCAAAAGTCCTGGAGGTATATCGGGTTGGCTGATGACTCCCAGTGCTTCTCTGGCACCCTGGTCTGACAATACAGCCGGGAGGTGAGGAGACACGGGGCTGTCCGGCCAGCCTCAGCCCTTCGTATGTCCCTGCTGAGTGACCAGCCTAGGGCCACCTTCTCTTGGGTGGAAGGAAGTCAGAAAAGTTTGGTCCCATGATCTACACTCAAAAAAATATATATACTGTCTATAGCTCTCTCTATATATATGCACATATATATATAGAAAAAGTGGTGATTTAGCTTGGGGAAGCCGCCAAGGTTATGGGGAGGGAGGAGCCAGGAAATCTCCCAGGAGGAAGCGGTGAACTCCTCAGCCCCTGCCCTCCCCGGCAGCGCTTCACATTTTGGGAAGAGGGCCAGGGGAGACAGGAGAGGAGAGGGAGGGCTGGTGTCCAAACTCGGTTGTAATTTACGGAAAAGTCCTGGATCGGTTGGAAGCGGGGGAAACCCTCCTGGGGTGGAAGGCCCCTCACCTGGTGGAGAAGGGAGGGCGTTAGGGAGCTCTGAGCCGGGCACAGAGGCAAAGCACCTCCCCTCCCATCCACCTCCTGGCCTGGCCAGGCTGGGGTCTAGAACCCCAGGATTCCTACTCTTTTCAGAAAGAGTCCATTTTGGAGTTTGGAGGCTGACAAACCTGGCTTGGAGCAGAGTTAGGGTAACCAAGTGCGTGTCCTTACCTGGCAACTTGGGACAAGTATTCCTGCTCATTTGTGTCTCCTCTCCCCTGCTGCCTGCCACTGGAGCACCAGGAGGGCAGTCCCCCGCCCCCCCACTCACCCCCAAGTTTCTGTTCATTCGGAGCTGTGTCCCCAAACACTGGAAAGAGTGCCTACACATAGTAGGTGCTCAGGAAAGATGTGCTAGCCCAGCATGTTAAAAGTGTGTGGATCGCCTGTGAGTTGGTTTCCAAACGTGGCAGGTTTCCAAATGTGAGCTCCAAGATGAAGGACTCTGACTGCACACCCCCAAGTGCTGACCTGACAGGGTCTGGAAGGTGCCACCATCCCCTAACTGTGCACCTACTTTGCGCCAGACCCCAGGCAAGGCTCTCTGCTGACGACGGCAATGGTGATTAAAAAAGAAAACATCAGGAATCACCAAGAACTTCACAGGTGCGGGTCCTGGGCTCAACTGGGAAAACACTGCATCCCCTGTGTGAGTTCTCCCTACTGCCTCCAGGGGAGATGAGCCCATTTCACAGATGAGGCTCATGGGAGCTTGAGGTCAGTAGTTAGTTTTCTCATTGATCTCTTAGGCTCACTATTCATTCCCCCCAAAAGGTGGCTAGTTGATAAAATTGCTTGCTCTGAAGTCAAATCAAAATACACTCTTGGGAATTTGTTTGGGGAGACATTTTTTCTGGCATTGGGGGAGGGGGGGCGCCCTGCAAAATCCCACCTTCCCATCAACCCACTGGGTGTGAACTGTACCAAATAGAGGAGCTGAGAGAGGGGCCCAGCTGGGGGTCATAGGACAGGAGAGAAGCCCCTCCCCACAGCATTCCCCACCCCATTCCCAACCGGCCCCCTCAGGCAAGTTTCTATTTCTCCTTCGAAGCTTTCTCCCAAACCACCCTCCGTGAGCACTGGCTTCCCCCACTTCCCAACCAATCCTCCTCTCCCACAAAAGAGATTGGGAGCATCTTCACCCAGCGCTGTCCCTAAAATTCAACCTGGGGGCCCTGGAGCAACCTCACCCTCCTGGCTCCACTCACAGCCCCCGGCAGGAGAGGGTTTGGAGAATGGGGGAGGTGGAGGCTCGGGTGTGTGTGTGTGTGTGTGTGTGTGTGTGCGCGTGCATGCAGAAAACACAGGGCAGGGTTGGGGCGGGTGGGGCCGCCTGGCGGCTCACCTGGGCCAAGCCCACAGCCTCCGGGTGGCTGTGGGCGTGGTCAGTAGGGGTGTCCCGGATCTTTGGGCCGCTTCAGCTGCACTTTCAGCCTCTTCATGCCAATCTGAAAGCCATTCATGGCCTGGATGGCAGTCTGCGCGCTGGCTGGGTTGTCAAAGCTCACGAAGCCTGCAGAGACCGGGGTGGACCCGCGATGGTGGGCAACGTGGGCGTCTTCCACTCGGCTTCCCGGCTCGTGGGGTCCTAGGGGGGGGTGTGCGCTCGCAGGGGCAGGCAGCGGAGGAGGTACCTCGGCAGGGCTCGCCAGAGGACACAGCATCCCTGGCCTGGTTCTGACCCCCTGGACTGCATGCCTCTGGGGACGGGCACTCACTCCTCACCTGGGGCTGCTCTGTGAGACTTCCTATGTGGAGCGGGGACAGGTCTACCTCTGGGGGTCCAGGCTCTCCCTCCCCCCAGGATGCCTGCTCCTTCTGGACCCTGATGCTCGCTAGCCCTTTGCCTCCTCTGAGACCTCTAGTCACCTGGGATCTTGTCTGTCCTTATGACTGTGTGTGTGTGCTTCTTTGTTTCATCTCTTTCTCCATCTCTCCCGCCTGCTCTCTCTGTCTCTGTCAGTCTCTCTAACTCCTAGTTTCCCCCAAGACCATCGGAAACACTTACGGCTCCCCCTCCTTACACTGCCACCAGCCCAAACTCCATCTGCCAGCTCAAAGCTGCCCCTCCTGCCCCTCACTTCCTGGTTATCACAGGGGACCATGTGCAGCCCACAGAGGCCAGGGGCCCACCAGGGGGAGGGAACCACACAAGCATTTGGAGGTGGGTCACCTGAGCTCTTGTGAAAGGCCAGTGGGAGGTCAGGCAGAGAGATTGGGGCTCAGGGTTGAAGGGTCTTGCTGAGGCCCATGGGGAGCCATGGGGAATTAGAGTTGAGGGATTAACATAATTGTTTTTATCTCCTGCAAGTCCCCTCATTATATAGATGAGGAAACTGAGGCTCAGAGAATGCATATGAGTGGGTTTTCCTCCTCCTCCTGAAATTTCCTCTTCCTTCTGGACGCAGGTTATAGAAAAGGGGGCTTGGGCACTAGTGGGAGTCCCTTACTTGCTGTGTGACTTCAAGTGTGTCACCATTTGTTTCCTCTCTTTTCTCCCTCAGTAAATTGGGACAATTCTTCCCTTTTATGGTTGGATACTGAATATATACAGAAGGCACTTAATAAACAGTCAAGAATTAGCTCTTCAAAGAGGACAGGGTGGGGTTACCAGTCCAGATTTTGTAGTCAGACTAATTCTAATCTAGATTCTGCCTCTTTGCCGCTGTGTGACTTTAGACAAGTGTCAGTGCCTCTTTGAGCCCTAATTTCCTGTTTCTGGGGACAAAGAAGTCCTCCCTAAAGTTCAAGGCCCTTCATGATCTGTCCCTGTCTCCCACCTGCCCTTACCTCCTCCCTCTCTCCCCATCATTCACTCTGTTCCATCCACACAGGCCTCCTCACTGTTCCTCAGCCCCAGGGCCTTTGCACATCCTGATGCCTCTTCCTAGAACACTCTTCCTACAGATTTCCCCATGCTGGCTCATCATCAGTCAGCTCTATTTTTCTTCATACTATTTATAATTCCCTGGCCTATGTCCTATGATTCCTTATTTCCATCTCCTTCCCCTAAATCTGTGCTTTCTAATTCGGTAGCCACTGGCTCTTGTGGTTATTTTAACTTAAATTAAATACAATTAAACATTTAGTCCTTCAGTCGCACTGGGCACATTTCAAGTGCCTGGTAGCCACATGGGGCTGATGGCCCAGACAGACGGGATGTGGAATATTTCCATCATCAAAGGTAGTTCTGTTGGACAGTGCAGGAAGACTGTGAGCCTTCCTTCACTGCTATGTGCCCAGTGCCAAGCACAGAACCTGGCACACAGCAGGGACACAGTATATGTATTTGTTGAATGAATGAATGAATGAACAAGTGAGTCTTAGAAAGAATGCATGGCAGGTGTCCTGCAAACAGTAGGTGCTTAATAAGTGTTCACTCTGATTATGAATGTGATTCTTTTTTTAAAATGTGATTCTTTTGGACCAGGCTTGTCTCAGGGATGACCAACCTCTCCCACCCCACCCCCTCACATTCCAGGACCAGGAGCATGGGGCAGGCTGGCCAGCAGGAAGGGGCACCCCCCACACGTACTCACCAAAACATTTGCTCTGGTTGGTGGCCCGATCCATAAACACCTTGGAGGAGATGATATTGCCGAAGGGCAGGAACATCTGCGTCAGCTCCGTGTCTCCAAACTCCTGGGGGAGGTGGTAGATAAACAGGTTACAGCCTTCGGGACCTGCAGGTGGGGGAGAGAAAGACATAAAGCCCCCAAGGAGAGGAGGCGGAGCCCCCCCGGGGAAGGGGCAGGTTTGGACCCACATCTGGGCACCTCCAGCTATTAGGACAGAGGTGCCCCATGATACGCAGAAAGAAGGAATGTGAAAATAGGGGGTAAGGAGATGGGGCATCCTGATCCCTGCTCTATAATCCTACACACAGATACTCCAAACCTGATAGTCCTCAAGCTCCAGATAATTTACAAAATTCAGATGATTCTCAGCCCTCTGCCCAAACCAAGATAAATAACAGGAACTCTAAATCCAGGAAAATCCCTAAATCTCAAACTCCAGATTATCTACAAAAGTCAGGTTAACTAAGTGTAGATATAAAGAAACTATAATCTATATTTTTAATTATTCTGTAAATCTAAAACTGGTTCTGAAATCAAATGGTGGGTTTTTTTGTTTTTTTAAGTGCGATGATTGTCCTGTCCAGTGTGGCTCAGTTGGCCCCTGGTTGGGGCGTGTACAGGAGGCAACTGATTGATGTATCTCTCACATCCTTCTCTCTCTCTCTCTCTCTCTCTCTCTCTCTCTCTCTCTCTCTCTCTCTCTCTCTCTCTCTCTCTCTTTCTCTCTCCCTCCCTTCCTCTAAAATCAATTTTAAAAATAGTAATAGCCCAGCTGGTTTAGCTCAGTGGATAGAATGAAGGGTCCTGGGTTTGGTTCTGGTCAGGGGCATGTGCCTTGGTTGCAGGCTCGATCCCTGGCCCCAGTCAGGTTGCATGCAGAGGCAGCTACTGGATGTGTCTCCCTTACATCGATGTTTCTCTCTCTGTCTCTCCTCCTCCCTTCTACTCGGTCTAAAATCAATGGAAAAAATATCCCCCAGTGAGGATTAACAAAAGAAAGGCAATAAATGTCGGATGATCACAGAATAAAACAAGACAAGTATTCTCTAATCCCCAAACCCAAATATCCAGATATATTTTCCAAAAGCCTTTGATAATTCTCCTAACTTCGGATAATTTTCAAAACTCAGACGATTCAAAAATAAAACCAAGTAAACTAAAAGAGAACTCTCCAATCCTGAATCCTAGATATACTGAAACCACAAATTACATATTTTTATTGATTTTAGAGAGGAAGGGAGAGGGAGAGAAAGATTGAAACATCAACAATGAGAGAGAATCATTGATCAGCTGCCTCCTTCATGCCCCACACTGCGGATTGAGCCTACAATCCAGGCATATGCCTGACAGAGAATCTAACCTCAACCTTCTGGTACATAGGCTGGTGCTCGATCACTGACCCACACTGGCTGGGCTCCCACAAATAATTTTAAAATGGTAGACTATACCAACCAGAAACATTTTAATTAATTAATTAATTTATGTTGATCTTTGCCTGAGGGTTTTTCCATTGATTTTTAGAGAGAGTAGAAGGTAGGAAAGGGGGGGGGGGGGAGAGAGAGAGAGAGAGAGAGAGAAACATTGATGTGAGAGACACATCGATTGGTTGCCTCCCCCACAAGGCCAGACCAGGGCCTGGGATTGACTTGCAATCTAGGTATGTTCCCTTGATCGGGAATCAAACCAGAGATTCTTTGATGCGTGGGCGGACACTACCACTGAGTCACACTGGCCAGAGCAGAAATATTTTTTAAAACATGGCTAATCCTCAAAATCATCCCTTCTCCATAAAATCCTCAGTACGTGGTTTATATACAAACTATAAATAATACCATTTAAAAACTTGGTTAACTTGGGGTGATGAACACACAATGTACAGATGATATTTCATAGAATTGTTCACCTGAAACCTATGTAATTTTATTAACCAATGTCACCCCAATAAATTCAATAAAAAAGAAAATAAACAAAAATCTGATTATCTGAAGCCAAACCTGCTCCCATGCTCCCAAAACAAAGATAGTGATCCAACTACCAAGAATTGCTCTTACCCTCGCAATGAATATTCGCCACCCCAGAAAATACAAAATCCAAGACCACACAATCCACCCCCTACCTTTCTGATTAGGACCACAGTTTTGCTACAATGCTTGCTTTTATTTATTTATTGTTTGCATTTTTTATTTATAATAATTATCTAAATCTTTATTGTTCAAAGATATATGTCCCCTTTGGTCCCCCACCAATCCCCCACCCCCTCCATCCCCCACCCATCCCCCAACCAGGCCCTCACCACCCCACTGCCTGCATCCATGGGTTATGCATATATGCAAACAAAGCCTTTGGTTGTATAAAATGCAAGTGTGTTCTGATGTGACTGATATGTTACGGAACAATGTTGAGCATAACACAAATCCTGTGTTTGCTTATGGGCTGTCTGGTCTCCAGGAAACACGAGGCGAATGCAGAAACCTGGGCCTGGGTGAACCAAGCCTCATGAGAAAACAGAATTCGAGCTCTGACACCTACCAACGTCCTCAGCTCCCCAAGTGTGCTAGGAGCCATACCTGTCCCCATCTGGGGCTTTGCCTGTCTCATTTGTTCCCTGGGCCTCACAGGAGCAGCCCTTCCCATGCCACGCCCACGTGCACATGTCGGCTCTTCCCCAAGATAAAGTGCCACCCCAGCTGTAGCATCACGTATTTCTCAGCCATTTAACACTGATAAAACGGTTTTCTTAGGGTCCTATCTTTTTTTTATTGACAGGTCTGCGGGCCAGGCTCCGAGCTCCCCTTGCCATGGGGAGGGGCCTGGGCTTTTCGCAGCCTCCCCGGCCCCCACCAGCACTATCCGGATTAAATCAGAGGGTCTCCCCGGGGATGAGCGGGCTCTGCCTACTTGCACCTCTTGGCACCAATAGCCGCCTGTGTTAGAGATGAGGAAACAGGGTGGTGCGGTACCTTCTTTTTGTCACAAGCCAGACCTGGGCGGCTCTGAATCCCAGGTGTCCGACTCCAGAGTCTAACTCGGGCATCCCTCAGCTCTCCTGGGGAGGCTCCAGTTTAGCCGATGCCGCACCCCTCTTCCCACCCTCAGAATGGGCTCACTCCCGGGAAGTTCAGAGAATCGTTCAGGGTTGGAGCGGCACCTCTCTGCCTACGGGGTCGAGCTAGCATGGTTCGGAGAGGGGATTCAGTGGTCCCCCCGCCCTCCCCCCAACCGGGATGGTACAGGACTTGAACCCAGGCCTCTCCGTCCCCGGGCGGAGTTCTAGGCCGCGCGGTTCCCAGAGGCCTGGCCAGGGGCGGGGCCTGCTGCTGACGGGGGCGGTCCGGGGGCGGGGCTGGCGCCCGCAGGAGGTCGCGGCCCCCTCACCTTCTCGCTGCTGCTGCTGCTGCTGCAGGAGCGGCGGCGGCTGCGGGATGCTGTGCGCGATGGGCGCGATGGCCGCGGCGGGGTACATGGCTGTGGAGACCCGGAGCGGAAGCCGCGTGAGGCCGGCGGGCGCGCGGCGCGAGCGGGCGCGGCTAGTCTAGGGGCGGGGCCTGGTCTGAGGGCGGGGCCCGGTATGAGGGCGGGACCAACGGTGGGTCTTGGGACGGAGGCGGGGCGGGGCCTAGGCTGAGGGCGGGGCCAACGGTGGGTCTTGGGGCGGCGGAGGGGCGGGGCCACAACGAAGAGCTGGCCTAAGGGTGAGGCCCAGGCAACGGAGCGGCCCGGACTTGAGAGGCGGGGACACGGGTTAAGGGCGGGGCCAAGGCCGACCTTATGCAGAACCTGAGGGGCGGGACCAGCAGGGCAAAGAGCTGGGATTGGGCCACGGCTAGAAGTAGGAAGAAAGGTTAGAGAATGAAAGGCGAATGGCCGAGCTCCGAGGGCGGGGCTTCTATGGGGCGGGGCTTCTTGAGGGGCAGGCCGACGTGCCTCCCTACCTGTGTACTGCTGGACTCCCGAGAAGGCAGGATGGAGGGTCTCAGCCATGGTCGGACTCTGAGCTGCGGGCAGACGGAGGGGCTGAGTGGGGTGGGAGCAACATAAGACTTCTATTCACCCCCCAATTCTTAAGAGCGGAAAAGAGAGCCACAGACATCCGCCCCAGCTTTACCTCTGCGTAAACAGTGTACAGGTATGCTTCCCATTTCACAGGTGGAGAAACTGAGGCTCAGAGAGGAAAAGTAACTGGCACAGGGCCACTTAGATAGGAAATGGCAGAAGCCGAACTCGAATCCAGGTTTCTGGGACTCCAGAGAGGTTGACACATGACTCCCATCTTCCTCCCTCCCCTTTCCACACCCCCCCCCCCCCCAATCTTGGCCTTCTCACTCCTTCCTTTCATTTTCTATATTCTCCAGGACTCTGCTCCAGACCACCACTCATCCCCATCACCTCATTCATCAGTCACCCCATGGACTTTTGTGTGGCTATAACCTTCCAACTGGCCTAGTGGAGGAGTTAGGTGAGAGTTTGTCCAGGCCACCAGAGTTGGTGAATCAAGAAAATTCAGCCAAATGATTCCGTTTGAATGGAGAGATGTTGCTAGAGGATGGAATAGTGTGTGTGTGTGTGTGTGTGTGTGTGTGTGTGTGACTTACAAGGGTGACATAAATGAATTACTTTGTAAAGCTGGAACAGTTCTGTATCTTGATTATGGTGGTGGTTACATGAATCTATACCTGTGATAAAATGGCACAGAAACACACACACACATACCCGTGCATGTAAAAAGCAGTGAAATCTGAGTAAGCTCTCCTACTCCAGTTAAGTTCATTGTACACACCAATGTCAGTTTCTTGGTTTTGACAATGCTCCTGCGATTATCTATGATGTTAGCATTGGAGGAAGCTGGGTGAGGGGTACACAGGACATCTTTATATTATTTTGGTAACTGCCTGTTAGCCTCAATCATTTCAAAATAAAAATAAATCCTCTTTAATGGTGTAAACACAGATGTTTGCCTTGAAATCATGGTATAGTGGGGAGCCCAGCTCACATCAGTGCATGGTCATATTGAGTGAATGAATGAGTGAACAAATGAATGAATCCTGGTACTAATATCTTTCCAAATAGTAACAGTTAATAATTAAGATTGATGGTGCCATTCTTAGTACTAGGTGATGGGTTAATCATTTTTCATTCTGATCTCATTGTCAATGCAACCTCATGAGGTGACTGATGTTAATCCACCCATTTCACAGATGAGCAAACTGAAGCTCACAGACTTTCAGGAATCACCCAAGAGCCACCAAACCTGGATATGAACTTAGAAATGTCTGGGGGCAAATTTACTATGTTTAACCTTTTTCTCTGCGCCCCCAGCACATATCTGCTTGGCTGAGACTCCCATTGTTCTGTCCCTCTGCTCCTTGGGGCATCAAGACACAGGAAATTATGCTTGTCCTAGAGACACCGTCCTGCCCCCTCATGTTCTCCTAGGCCCTGGGGAACCACCCAAGTTACCTGGGTAGGGCATGAGGCCATTGGCATATACAGTCTCTAGGGCAGGGTGCCCGCCAGGGAAGGGCACGACACCTGCAAAGCTGTTGGTGATGGGAGCCATGAGGCCGGGCACGGCGGCAGTGCTGAGCAGTGGGGGCGAGTGCAGCCCTGCAGAGAGAAAAACATCGTGAGGAGCCTGGGCCTGGGCCTGGCCCTGCCCACCCATCCTTGGGCCTCTGGCGGACTCTCACCAGAGGCAGGGGCGATGGGCGTGGCAGGCAGCCCGTTAAGGCTGACGGCGCCGATCTGCTGGATGTGGCAGGGAGAGAAGGCCACGCCAGGGCCCAGGTAGCTGCCTGAGGTGGACAGGACCGTTGTCTGCTGCTGCATGAGCTGGAGGTGGAGAGGGGTCAAGATGCACAGTCAGGGTGGCACCTGCCCTGAGGTCATCGGTCCCAGGGAGTAACTAGAGGGGTCAGGCTGGATATCTTGGCTGAGGCCAGGGTGAGGGATCAATCAGGATTTGGGGCTCAGCCTTGGTCTGGGATCAAGGCTCAGCCTAGTTCCGAGTTCATGGGAATCATGGCTAATCGAGGGATCTAGGTTCAGTAAAGAATTTAGTCTTGATCAGGGATCAGGGATCAGCCAACACTTAACTCAGTGTTGGGACTTTAGAGGCTCAGTCTGGGTTTGGTCTCAGTTCAGGGTTGAAGCTTGACCGGAATTATTTGGGGGCTGAGCATGGGGTCATGTCAGTCCAAGTAGAGGTTCACCTTGGGCTCAGGGCTCAGTTTATGGCTGGGGGCTCAGCTAGGTGTGGGGCTTGGGACTCAGTCTGGATATGTGGGCTCAGTCATGGCCAGAATAGGACCCTGAGCCAGAGAGACTGGGCAAGAGACAGAAAGATGGGCAGAGAGTCTGGCCGGTGTGGCTCAGTGGTTGAGCATTGACTTATGAATCAGGAGGTTGCAGGCTCAATCCCGCAGGAGGCAGCCAATTAATGATTCTCATCATTGATGTTTCTATCTCTTTCTTCCTCTCCCTTTCTCTCTAAAATCAATTAAAAAAAATATTTAAAATAAAAAAAATAAAACAAAGATGGGCAGAGAGGCTAAACCCCTCCACAGAGACTTAGATGGAGAGAGAGAGAGAGAGACAGACACTGAGCTGGATCCTCAGAGAGGTCTTGGACGTTCCCCTGGAGACAAAAGCATGTTTTCCGGGGTCACTCACGGCCTGCGCATAGGCACTGTAAGGGCTGAAGGGCAGGGTGAGGGATGGTGTCAGGATGCCCAGCTGGCCCACCATCTGCTGCATGCGCCGCAGTGTTCGCTCCTTGTCTGTGTCGGCAAACTTGACCACCAGGCTGGAGGAGGCACCCTGCAGGAGCAGCCACAGCAGGAAGGAAAAGAAAGGAGGGAGGTAACCAGGAATCTGGGGTCCCCAGAACCACACCAGCCCTGGTGAGGGCTATAGACAGCAACAGCTGTTGGCCTGTCCACGAGCCCCTGCCGCAGGCTTTGGGCTGCACAGTGAAGGTCGGAGTCCTGGGTCTTGCACTTGACGATGCAATCACCTCTGCACACAGGCGGGGCATTTGGGCCCGGGGGCTGTGTCCGGGGTACAGTGGAGGACCCTGACTCTCAGGCACACTCCCCAAAACAGGAGAATCCCTGGCCAGTATGACTCAGTTGGATGGATGTTGTCCCATGTACCAAAAGGTTTCTGGTTTGATTCCTGTTGGGGCACATGCATGAGTTACAGGCTCTCCTGGTGTGCAGGAGACAGCCAGTCAGTGTTTCTTTCTCTCTCTCTAAAAATCAATAAAAAAAATCTTACACACACGCACGAACACACACACACACAGAAGGAGAATCCACCTGCTGGAGAGGAACATGGCGGCCTGGGTGGAGGACCCTGTAATTGTCACCGGACACCAGAGAGGAATGGGGCACAGATGGATAACTGCGAATGGCACCTGGCACCTGAGAACAGGTTAGACACTAACATACAGTGAAGATGGTTCCCAGAGCCTCCTTCCTGGGGGTCAGGGCCACCCCAGTGCCTGGTGGTCCTTCCCAGCCTCACACCACTGCTGACCCACTAATTCCTGGCTCCAGTCTTGCCTCTGCCCACCCCTGCTCTGGCCCCAAAGAGACATTTCCATCTAAACCTGACCCCTTCCCTTCCCTGTCCAACCCCTCTGTGGCTCCCATGACCATAGGAGGAATCTGGGTGCCTCAGCATGGAACTGCAGGCTCCTCTAGCCCATCCTCCCCAGTTCCTCTGGGAGCCCCCATTCCGATCCTGCCTTTGGTTTTGTCACTCCCCACACCCTCATGTCCCCCTGCTGGCCTCCGCAAATCCCATCCACCCTCAGGTCTCATCCATCCTGTATCCTCACACACAATACACGTATTCTCACACACACTCACTCACCGTGTATGCTCACAGTCATGCATAGCATTCACATATACATGCTCACCATGCATACTCACACACACTTGCCCAATGCGTTCACATACACATGCACAAAATCACACAAGTACACACATAAGTATATACAGTTACTATGCACACATAATCATATGCCCTCACCCACACATACACACATGTACTCATCTACACACATAACCCTCTCACACACTCCTACAGAGGCACATGCATGCACTCAACATGATTACACACATGTACTCACCCAGACATGCATGCACTCTCACATGCTCTCTTAGACACACACACACATGCAGCCATACGCTGACAGTACATTCTTTCACACACATAGGTACAATCACTCAGACACATACACCCACTCACACCATCATCAGGACTGCCCCCTTTTCCAACTATGCCCACTAGGAAGAAGAACCAAGGATTACCAGGTGGCTGGGATGGGAGGAACAGGGCCCCCTTACCCCTTTCCCATACCCACCACCATAGCTGAGGGTAGCTCCTACTCACCGGCATGGTCTGGCTGCCATGCAGGGCGTGGATTGCCGCCTGAGCCTCCGTGTGGGAGGAGAACTTCACGAAGGCACAGCCTGCTCCAAGAGAACAGGGGAGAGGCAATGGGGCATTTCAGGGTAGACAGGCCCACCGGAGCGGGGGCTGGGGGCCCTGGATGGCCAGAAAGTCAGACATCTGGACACAGAGCCAGCCAGCCATTTGCCCAGACAGAGAGCTAGACAATGAAGGATGAGACAGTAAGAGAAGCACACGGCCAGCCATGGAGTTAGACAGTCAGCCAATCAGCCATCCATTTAGTCAGAAAGCCAGCCAGCCAGAGAGCTGTTTGTCAAACCCACAATCAAGCGATGGGGACAGGTTTAAAGAACACCCACCAACAGCCACCAACACAAGGAGATCCAGAGTTGTAATCAGATGTGCAGAATTAAAGTGACAAACCATGAAACGTGGAGGCAGAGAGATATGGTTCTGTGCACACCCAGGCAGAGATGCACTCAGACCCAGATGGATAGAAAGATGTGTGTGACCAGAGTTGGAGAAATGGGGATAAATCACCATACAAAGGCAGACCCAGCCAATCAATCATATGAGCAGAATCAGGAGGACAGATAGCCAGACACACGAAGACCCATACAGAAGTGGTCATTTGGATACCCAGCAGCAAGAGTCAGAGACAGGGATGCAGGAGGAGTGATACTCAACCCAAGTCACATAGAGTCACATGGGCAGACAAGAAAACATGTCTGTGGAGGTCATTAAACAATCATCCCTAGAAGGTGCAGCCATATAGGAACGGTACACAGAACACAGGCACATCCAGCTGGAGACTGTCCCATGGACAGAGTCGGGGGGAGACAGGCATCCCCAGCTGGGCAGGGGCAGCCAGTAGGACCAGTCTCCTCGCACCGCCAAAGCCGCTGGTGGCCCCACCCCGGGATCCAACCCCGCCCGCCTCAGGCGCCGCCCTGCCCCCTTATATGCCCCGGAGGCAGCCCCAACGCGGGCCTGTCACCTTTGCTGCTGCCATCAGGCCCCCGGAGCACCGTGCACTCGTCTATGACCCCGAAGGGCTGGAACAGCCGCAGCACGTCCTCCTCCGATTGCTGCTTGTTCAGCATCCCCACAAACAGCTTCCGGTCCCCTGTGGGCGGAGACACCACCTCAGACAAGTCCTGGCTGCAAAGCCTCATGGGAATGTCTCCCCTGGGCCCAGTTCTGCGCGTGCGAAGGAGGTAGCGGCCGGGCGCTGGCTGCCCTGAGTCTCTCCCACGTTCCTGCACGATCCCATCTTCATGCCTTTGCTCACATAGTGCCCTCCCCCGTCTGGAATGTCCTTCCTCCAAGCCTTCGGGGCCTCTGCACCACTGCTCCCACCTCCCAGTACAGAGGGTCTCCCCTCCTGTGGTCTCAGAGAGCCCACACATAGTACCATGGTTAGGAACTACCTTGCCTGGCCTAGGCCCCTGTCGGTCTAACTGCCATCTAGATTCTACAGGGAGGGTGAGCGCTGATGGCCTCTGCATCCTCACTGTGCCCAGCAGAGCCCCCTGCCCAACCTTGCCGGGCCTCAGGAGGGACTAGGCAATCAATGTGTGTTGAATGAGTGAGGTGTGTGTGAGCACAGGACCAAGTGCCCGGGCAGCCTGCAGTCCCCAACAGGTGGAGCTGGAGTGGGTGCCTGGCTGGGACCTGCCCAAGTCTAAGGCCAAGGCCCAGTCCGGGCCACCCTCTCCTGTGTGAGGCGCCAGAGCCCTGCCCCTGGCGTCGTTGTGCTACTCTCCTGTCATCAGCAACAGCGGCAGCTTCCTCTCCCCTAGACAGTAAGATGGGTTACTATGGAGACCAGTTTTCTGGCAGCTGCCACTCACGGGGAGAAACACAGAAGCAGAGAGATTGGCGAGTCAGGAAGAGAAAGACATATGAGAATGAAACAGAGATAAGCAAAGAGAGGCACAGAGAGCAGCAGAGAGAGAGCCAGAGACAGGAGAGAAAAAGATAAGGAGAGAGACAGACATGGTGGGAGAGGGAGCAGGAGAGGATAGAGATGGAGACATGCGAACCCTGCTCTCCAGTCCCGACCCACACTGTGACCAGGTGGGAGAGCCTGAGAACAGGCTCCAGCCCACACTGGCTTCTCCAGGCTCTTACACATCTCACGCTCCGGGGTCCTAACAGCCCTGTCCCACATCGGAGTTGTAATCAGATGTCCCACCCTGTCTCCAGCCATCCCCTGGCTGGCTGTTCTCCCTCAGCCCCCAACCCACCTGAGATGGGGAGGAGGGACAAAAACCTCCAAGAATGTTCCATGGACACTCCTCTGCCACACAGTCCAGCCCCTGCAGACACCAGGCCCCAACCTGCACGCCCACAGGCCCGCCTGTTACAGTCAAGCACACACACTTGAACATACATGCCCATGCATAGGCTGGGTGCACGGCGTTGCATGCACCCCCACTATGCCAGCCTCGGAGACACACATGCATATGTACACATACTTGCACCTGGCTGTATACAGGTGTGCCCAAGTATGCATGCTTATATACACAGGCATACCCACTTGTCCAGACATGCAAACGTACACATACACACCACATACACACACAACCCCAAAATCAATCCACAGCCCTTCAGGGTCCCCATCCCCTCTGCGTCTGAAGATGCCCATTACTGATCTCTGAGAGGAATCAGGTACTTCAAGCTCCAGGGGGAAGTAGCTGCCCCTGGCCAGTGGCCCTGTGGTCGGGGAGAGGGGACAGAGGCCCCGCTTCCTGTCTCCACCCCATTAGTGTGTGAGCAGGCAGGTGACTACTGCGGCCTTTTGTGCAGGGACCTTCCCTTCCTCCCCATCCCTCCCCAACCCCCGCCTGGAGGTCACGGAGAGATGACAACTACCTCCACGACTTTCGCTGTCCGCAGGCTTCACCTGGATTGGCCGTGCCATCTGTGGAAAAAGGGGGTGGGGAGAGGTCAAGGTCGGCAGCTGGAGCAGCGTGGGTAGACATTTTGAGTTCTGCCAGGCAACCCTGCCTACCTCCCCAGCCTCAGCATCCCACCAACCACCCGGTAGCAACGAACACTCCACTCAAACCAAGAAATACATGGTCCCACCCACAGGACTTTGCTCATGCTGTCGGGAAAACTCTTACTTAGCCCTTAAAACCCAGCGACAATATCCCTTCCACCAGGAAACCTGCTTGCCTCCCCAAGGGCCATGAACTGTTTACGAAGATAATCCAAATCAGCTAGTTCCTGTGTGTGGTGTGACTTTGTGGTTCCTCTCATCGAGAACTGGAATCTGTTTTCCTTTTGCATCTGCAGTTGGCCATGTGACTTGTTCTGACCAATAGAATGAGGTGGAACTGAGGTTGTGGGAGTTCCAACCTTGGCCTCATGAGACCCTGCAGCTTCCTCCACACTTGAGATGCAGAGATTACCAAGTCACTCCAGGTTATGATGGGGCAACTATGGGAGGATGGCAGCCGACACACACAGAGAGGCCCCACTGACACACAGCACCTAGGAATGAGGCCGCCCTGACCCAGCTTGGCCCAGTCAGGACCCCGCTGATTGCAGCTGCATGAATGATCCCGGGAGAGACCAGCAGAAGAACTAACTCCCCAACTGACAGGTTGAGATTACTAACCCACAGAATCACGAACAAATAAAATGACTGGGGTGGGCCCTGGCTCGTTTGGCTCAGTGGATAGAGCATCGGCCTGCAGACTGAAGGGTCCCAGGTTCGATTCTGTCAGGGGCACATGCCTGGTTTGTGGACTCGATCCCCAGTGCGGAGTGTGCTGGAGGCAGCTGATTGATGGTTCTATTCATCATTGATGTTTCTATCTCTCCTTCTCCCTCCCTCTCTGAAATCAATAAAAATACATTTAAAAAAAATGATTGGGATGGTTTGTTACTCAGAAGTAGCTGACCGATATACTTTTAGTCAGCTCCCCAAGCCTTGGTGGGAGCCCTGTCACACCTGAATGGACCAGTGTGGATTCATTGTTCTGGACTCTTCTATCCCCTGCCCCTGGCCCTGAAAATGATGTTCATTAGAAGAAATCCACCCCCTATTTCCCATCCCCACTCTTAACCAGGCATGAATATGAGGTAAGCTAATGTGAATATTTGACAACAGACTTGAGGGATGGAGGATGGGGTGGCATTTACTTCTCCGCCAATCCTAGGACAGAATCCTCCTCCCAACCTCGTATCTCTGGTGAACTCCTACTCATTCTTCAAATCCCAACTCAAAAGCTCCCAAGTGGGCAACCCTTCCCCTCTCTGGGGTCCCTCCTCTGCCTCAGGGCAGCACATACCTAGTGTTGCTCTTCTTCCTCCAGACTGGGGACCACAGCATCACCCCACACAGGGAGATTCAGGGGAGCCCACTGAACTGAGCTGACCAGGAAAAAGGGGTCAACACCCACCAGCACAGAAAGACACCTGGTCCCTCCCCAGCAGGAGTGGGGGCAGTGAGTGCTGGTCCCAGGTCAGCCATCTCGGAGTAGATCCCCACCCACCCAGAGAAGGTGCTGGATAAATATCATGTTCTAATCACGGTGCAGCTGCCCAGCAAGCTCAAGAGAGAGACATGGTTTTCACCCCATTTTATAGATGTCAAAATCAAGGCCCAGAAAAGTTATTTGCTCTACCCACCAAGGTCATGGTAGATGAGTTGAAGCACCAGGCATCCTAGAAGTCGAATTTAGAGATCTTCCCACCCACTCCCACGAGTAGAGACCTACTCTTTAAAACCCCTATGTCTCCTTCCCTCTGAACTCCTTCCCCTTCTCTCAAGACCCTGTCCTAGCGCTGAACGCCCTCCCTCACTGATCACCCCTTTCCCTGAGTCCCTCCCCTTGGTCATTCCCCTCCCCCTCTAGCTTACCTCCCCTTTCTGAGTCCTTTCCTTCTCTCTGCTCCCCCCCCCCATCGGAGCCCCTCCCACTTCAGATACCTCCCCCTTCTCTGAAAGTGTGTCCCAGGCACATATGGGCCTGGCTGCCTCAATCTGAACTCAGCCTTGGAGCTCCAGATCCAGAGAGGCCTCAGCATCCCCAATCCAGTGTCCCCAGTTCCGCTGCCCAATCAATCTGCCACCCAGCCACACCCTCAGAGAAAGGGGGAACATTTCTCCCTTCCCTCACCACACACACACACACACACACACACACACACACACACACACACTGAGCCTTCTCCACCTGGTTACCACACCCAGCTAGCTGGGGGCAGGAGGGGAGATGATTTCAACCAGATGGGTCCAGATTCTGGGCTGGGGGCAGACTGAGGTGATGAAAAGAAATGGGGAGAAGGGGGCACCTGAGCATAAGCCTCCTGCTCCCCACCCCTCCTACCTCACCTCCACTGGCCCTCACCTCTTCCCCCCTCCCAGCACCTTGGGCAGATGAGGATGGGGTTGCCAAGGCAACAGTGATTCACCACATGGAAGCTGGCAATTGTTGTTACCATGGAAACTGCCTCTTAGGGGCGAGCCTAGCTCCTGCCTTGCACAAAAGAGATATTTAAATATAATCTTCTAGAGATGGATGAGCCAAGAGAGGGAACAAGGGAGGGGGCCACGAGGAGGGAACCTGCCCCCAACACAGCACCCTCACCCCTCACCCCATTCTCATGGCCTGGGTACCTGCTCATCAACTGCGCCTTCAGCTGTGGCTGCAGATCGTTCACCTCCTGCTGGAAGGCTCCTTCCCCCGCCGGGGTCAGCTTGGCAGCAAGAGGAGGCCCTGGTCTGCTCCCAGAAGCCAGGTGGGCAGCCCCCTCCTCTCCAGTCCCCTCCTCCAAAGCCAAGGCGTGAAGGCCCAGCTACCCGCACCCCACCGGCCTAGAGGCTCACACCAAGCTGGCTGGCATCCATGTGCTGTGGCTCGCACTGCCGGCCCTGGGCGCACAGGGGCGCATACGCAGCAAGAAAGCTGAGGCTCGGCGCCTCACTCCCTGAGCCCCACTCCCAGGCAATCAGCCAGCCACTGGACAGGCCCTGCCCGCCCACTGGAACCCTGAGAAGGTGTGCCAGGGGGAGCCAGGTCTCCCCATACCCCCACCTCTCCAGTCACCCCGGCCCACCCCTTTTGCTTCTGCCCACCTCCTTCCGGCTTCCTCTTTCCATCTGCCCCACCACAGTCTGTGCTGAGTGCCCTCTCTCCCTCCTCCACCTCTGGCTCCCAGTGTTGAATCTCTTCCCTCCCTGCCCTCTCTCTTCCTCTTTTCATTTATTCAACAAGGTTCCCTTGTCTGGTGGAGGGAAAGACAGAGGCAGAGACTCTCTCATAGGGTCATAGGGTCAGGGTGGGGGCAGAGGGCAGAATCAAGGGCTGGAGAGCCGAGAGCCATGGTTGCAAACTGTGGCTCTTTGGCCCCTTGGGTGTGGCTCTTCCACAAAATACCGCAAGTCTATTTTGAAGAAGTAGTGTTAGAAGAAGTTTAAGTTTAAAAAATGTGGCTCTCAAAAGAAATTTCAATTATTGTCCTGTTGATATTTGGCTCTGTTGACTAATGAGTTTGCTGAGCACTGGCCTAGAGCAAAGAATGGTGAAGAACTACAGGCTGTGCTGGGGCTGCACTGGAGATGGAAAATCTGTGGTGGGTGTTGCAGTGAACAGGAGTCCGAGGGAGAGACTTCCTCATGTTGGAGCAATAAGTATAGCCACTGCCTCCTTCATCTCCAACCACTTTGTGAGATGGAAACATCCCCATTTCATGGATGGGCAGACCAGACAGAGAAAGGAGGTCAGAACCAGAGGCTCAATCTCCTGCGGATTTCCTCAGGCTCCTGTGGGCTGGGGCTCTGGGCGTGTCTGTTTTGGGGTCCAGTCCTTGCTCTGCCCCCAGCTTTGGCTGAGTGACCTCAACCAGACCACACACCACTGGGAAAACAGAACCCCTTAGTCTGACCTGTGTCTATTACAGGGAGGAAACCGGAACCACTGGGGGAAGGGCCTGCAGGAGAAGTCTCCAGTGGTCAGGCGGGACCCTGAAGAGCCTCCTGCATTGGCAAAGTTGTGCCTTTAGATGTGGGGACTCCAGAAGCCCCAGCTGGGCTGTTTCTGGGCACGTGGAGAGGAAGGAAGGAAGGTGGACGCCCCGCCCCCACTCTGGGCTGCCCACGCCGCCATTCCAGCCTCCTCCTCTTTGACTTGGGCCCAGACCACGCCTCTCTCCACATCTAGATGCTGCCATAGCTCCCTATTGCCCTTGGGGTAGCAGGTCAGTTCTTCAACCTGGCATTCGAGCCACCTTTGCCACTCAGGCCAGGCACTCCTCCCATGCCCCTGGGACACTGCTGTTGCCCTAACTTGGCTGGAATGCACCCCGTTCTCACCTTGAAGAGAACCCCTCAGATTTTACCTCCCCCTGAAGCCTTCCTCTCACTAGCTTTGGTTGCTTTGGCCAGACCTTGCTTTGTTGAAGACACGACCCCTAACTCTCACACTCTCTCTCTCTCTCTCTCTCTCTCTCTCTCTCTCTCTCTCTCTCTCTCACACACACACACACACACACACACACACACACTCTGTGTGTGTCTGACCACTGGAGACTTCCAGTGGTCAGAGGATCTCAGCGGGGCTGTCGAACCCCAGGCTGGGGCTCCTGGCGGTGGAATGGGTCCCCCGGGGCAGCGGAGACCAGTGTGGCCAGCTGCTGTCGCTAAGACTTTTAAGGCAACACCATCTTTTTCATCATGAAGGTCTTGGGGGGCAAGGGACCCCCAGGTCTGATAGCCACCCCACTGCTTCTCTGAGCACCTCTGAAAGAGATGTGTTTGTCCCTTCAGCTGTGGGCCCCCCCAAACCCTTTGAAAATCCTTTCTGTGCACAGAGGGGTCCCTGAGGGGGTCCCCTTGCAGGAGCCAAACCTAGACAAGACAAGACAGGCTTTAGGACTCCTGGCCAGTCATGTTTCCTTTCCAAGCCTGTT